GGAGTTGTCACCCCTGCTAAGAACCAGGTAAAGGGGGCGGGGGGTGGGGGCAGGCTGAGGATCCACCCTTAGGGGCACTGACTGCCAGAAAGTAGTGCCTCTCCCAACCCCCCAGCCCTGCCTTTGACCCATGGTGGCTCCCTAAGCTGACACCCTTCTCCCTGATCCTCAGTACCCCCTAGTGATCCCCCAAATGAGCACTCCCAACCCAACGGTGCCCCTGATACCCTCATCCAGCTCCCTGTGCCCCAGCTTGCCCCGAGTCCCCAGCCCTGCTCAGCACCCCAGTGTTCCCTGAGCCCCCCCATCCTACAGCACCCCCTACAGGATCCTCTACCCCTCTCTATTTCCCCTCACCACATCTTTCCCCATTGGTCTACAAACCACCTGTCCATCCAGCTGACATCTGATGAGCAGGGAACAGGGATGTCCTAAACTAAGCTGACCCCTATTCCTTCACACACTCCCTATTTGGTCTCAGGAGTACTGTGGTTCCTGTTGGGCCTTTGCTGCTGTCACCAGTGTCAAGTAACTGTGGTCCATCCACCACCGCGAACTCTATAATCTCTCAGTACAACATATGGGAGGACACTGGTCCATGGGGAGAGGGTTAGGGGAACCATGGGGAGAGGATTAGGCGAACCATGGCCCAATGGAAAGAGAGGGAGCTGGGTATGAGATCCACTATTTCATGGTGGGGAGAAGGAGATGAGTACAGGGGGAAGGGAGGCTTCAGTCCATGATGGGGTGGTGGACTGGACAGGGGTGAAGGATTAGGGGAAACCAAGTTCCAGGGGAGAAAGGAGGGCTGAACCATGGGCGGGGAGCTGGATACAGGTCAGGGAGCAGAACCCCAGCCCATGGGAGAAGGTGGAAGTAGCTTATTAGGGGATCCCCCTGTCTGTGGGGCCTCCAATTCCCAGGGGAATTAATGTGTAGAAGGGGAGGACACCTATTTATAGGGCCTAATCTGGCCCCTACACTTTGAGAGCCCAGCCAGAGCTTGTCCTAGGAGAGCCCCAGCCTACAATCTTACTTTGCAAAGGTGCTGGACTGCAGCTGACTACTAGTCCCGTGGAGGGGCTTTCCCTTGGGATGTGTACAGTGTCACCTGGTCCTGTGGTATGTAGGGGCTGGCCCCCATACCCCCCGCTGGCTTGACCCTCCCCACACAGCAAGAGCCAAAACTCATCCAGCCTCCCGTGCCAAGACCCCAGTGTGCTGGGAGCTGCCTAGACCCACAAGCTGAGCTGGGGGCCCCGTCAATGTCAGGCTCTGCCCAGACTTCTGAGACTGGGCAGTTGTGGTGTTGGGCACTGCACACACTGACCCCTCCTTTCCCTCCCAAAAAGGTCTGACCACAGAGGAATACCCATACATGAGCTGCCAGGAGGAGTGCGAGAACCATCACCAACTCATTGCCAGTATCCAGAGCTTTTGAGTTCCTTTCTTCTGATGAAACACATGATGGAAGCACGGAGACATGTGGGATCCTGTGCAGGGCTGGGGGAGAGGCAGGGGGTAGCTCTTCAGCAGAGAGAGAGAGAGAGAGAGAGCTAGTTGGTTGCTTGCTGGGGCCTGTGTGACAGGAGATGCACGTAAGAGATGGCTGGGTCTGTATCCCTCAAGGACCTTGCTACACATTCAAAGTAAAGTTGGATAGAAACCAGCAATCGAGTTTCAATCCAGCACATTTTCAAGAACTGACTTAGACCTGGTTGGCTTTTATAGCTAGATGGCCATTTTTATGGCATGATAATGACTTTGCACATGCAGCCAGCCTAAATTTACTGTGCATTTTCCTGTTACTCGTGTAATATGTGTAACATGTAGCTGGGGCCTGACTGAACATTGGTGTCATGGGCAATCAATTATATGCATGTGTATCCACACAGGGCTGGCATCCTGGAGGACAGTGCAGGCCAGGGGAATGGGAAGGGGGAAAAACAGGGCCAGCCTTCTGGAGAGGTCTCTGGCAGGGAAAATCCGTCTCCTGCCCCCCACGCTCTGATGCTATGTTGCCCTCCCCACACAGAGCTGGCAGTGCATGTCGCAACCCAGGGTCCGGTCACTGTAGCCTTAAATGCTGACCTCTTGCAGGTAGGTCACCTCCATAAGCAGATCTAGGATTTTGATAAGAGGGGTGCAGATGCTGTAGTGCATGAACACAACACATTTTTCTCCAGTTAAACAGAAACTAGATTTACTAATATTCCAGGGGCCCAGCGCTAGATTCAATTTAAGATCAAAGCAAAACTAAGTACAGTTTTATTGGAAGGTGCACTGATTTGCTAATTATATATTAAATGTAAAACCCCCCACAGAATTAGGCAAAAAATGTCAAAAGAGTTTCATTGGTCCCATCATCATTAAAGTTTACATTTCTTACTCAGATGTGTAATACAAAACCTAGCCTTCTTGAGCATCTTGATAGTGCACCCCACACTCCACTGTCCCTCAGTTCCACACCTGAGTTAATGTATATATCTGTGTTAAAATGACCACACCTGAGTTGGACCCAAACTCACTAGAACTAAAAACAAGCAGCAGGCAAGGAAATAGAAGAGAGATTACCAGGAGTGATACCACTGCATGGGTGTGGTCTCAATGTTTCATTAATTAAGCTAGTCTTTCCTCTCAATGTTGCTATGCCTGGGAAGGGAGGGGGAGCTCCAGATCAGGGAGCAGCAGGACTGGGGTCCTCATAGGGTCTCCTAAAGGATGGAGATAACTTCAGGAGAGATCTGTGGGGACCATACACAAGTAGCTGGGGGTTCCTGGGGCCAGGGCTGAGGGAGCCCCCAGGGCTCTGTCACTGCTTCACAAAACTGGGCCTGGCCCCACTTGTCCAGCCATGCTAACTTGCCCCCCCCACCCTTCACTCCAGAGAAGACACCCTCCTGGATTGTCAAGAACTCTTGGGAGACATGGTGGGGGGAGGAGGTGAGTTGGGGACTTGGGAGGGCAGCCATAGCTGCTGGGACTGTGCTGGGATGCAGCTGGCGCTGGGCTGGGGTGTCTCAGGGGTTGGTTATACAAGACCCATTTGCTCTGTGCACATCACATGTTGCTATGGGGTGGATATGCCAGGGGTGGGTTATCCAGGCTTTTGTTGCTCAATGCAGATTGCCCGGGGTGGGCTGCATCAAGGGTGACTATACCAGGATGGGGGAGGAGGGGAACAAGACGCCCAGCCCCTGCGTGTCCCCATTCATCCCCCAGGGCTATTTCCGCATCTACCGTGGAGGGGGAGATGCCTGTGGCATTTTCAGGATGCCCATGACAGCCATCGTGAAGCAGGATGGGGCTGTGGAAGCCCCAATGGCCTGCCCACCCTGAAGGGATGGATGGATGGAAAGGCTGTGCCTCTGCTCTACCACAATAAAAAACCAAGGCAGAGGGATGGTTCTGTGTAATAGGGGAAATGGAGCTGTAGCAGCAGTTTGAATGAGGCATAGACAGTAGTAGGGCTTAGGCTTCTCATCTCTTCTCTAAACTAAATAAGCTCAGTTCCCTGTCTTTCCTCAGAAGTCCTGTCCCCTAGCCCCTGAACCATTTTTGTTGCCCTCTCCTAGATTCTCTTCAATTTGTCCACTTTCTGTAGTGGGGGGCCCAAAACTGGACACAATACTCCAGACGTGAATAGAGGGGAATGATCACCAGTGCTGAATAGAGGGGAATGGTCACTTCCCTTGACCTACTGCCAACACACATACCAATGCAGCCCAGTATGCCATCAGCCTTCTTGGCAACAAGGTCACACTGCTGGCTCATATTCAGCTTATTGTCCACTGTAACCCCCAGGTCCTTTTCTGCAGAACTGCTGCCCAGCCAGTCAGCCCCCAGCCTGTACTGGTGCATGGGACTGTTCAATCAGGACATGACACTGTGCCTGGTTGGGCAGCTGGGAGCCAGCTGAAGATAATGACCCATGAATGAGGACAGCCACCAGAAGAGTGAAGAGCTCCAGGAGGGAGCGCCAGGGGACTGGAGGACAGGCTGCTGGCTGGGGAGAAGTCCAGAGCTAAAACTGGTCCTCTCTTGATGCATGAAGGAGGATGGAAGGTTTTTGTTTTGGTCATTACAGTTTGGTGGGGTCATTTCTTGTGGGTTCAATGTTGTTTGGCCAGAAAACCTGCAGCCAAAGCTGGCTCCCCTCTCTCAGGAAATGGCATAAGCAGCCTGCTGACACCAGGGAGCCCAGTGGCTGGGACACACACATACACACCTGGTGATGCACCTGATCCCTCTGTTGGGTCTTTGTTCCCAGCTGCCTTGTGTGCCTGGTTGGGGCATGGGTGGAGCTTGGGGGTAAACTTTGCAGTCTCCCCAGATGCCACCACTGCCCCCAGAGGAATAGAGCTTAAGGGTGGGGGGCAAAATGCAGCTAACCCTAGTTCCCAGGAATTTCCATCAGGCACCAAGTGCAGGGATGGAGAGGGCAGTCCTCAATTCCTCTGGGGCCCGTTTCCAGTGCCTTTGAGCCTGGGATGTGGAGATGGCAAGGATGACATGGGGTGCTGTTCTGCAGGTTCCCCCTGAGCAGGGGGTTGGAGACCAACCCCAGAAAGGATGGTTCCTATTGTCTGTGCTAGAAGCAGTGCACAGGCACACACACACCTTATGGAGGACAGATAAGAACACAAGAATTACCAGTGACTGGGTCAGACCACAGATCCATCTTGCTCAGTCTCCTATGTCACATGCCAACAGAGAGTGGATGCTGAAAGGGGGAGCAAACTGGGTCTGGCCTGGGTTTTTTCCCATTCCTCTTTCACTTGCAGCCTCCAGCATTTAAGGCCTAGAACAGTGATTTTCATTTGCAGACCCCTAAAAAAATGTCAAATGGAGCTACAGACCCCTTTGAATTGTAAGTGTGGTTATTCACATATATTTGATTGATCACAGTCATCTTCCATGGACCCATCAGACATAGTCTGCAGACCCGCCATAGGTCTGCAGACCACAGGTTGAAAACCACTGGTCTAGGAAATTCTGGTTCAGAGGCCGTGCCCCTCAATGGTGACTGATGCCCCTTTCCTTCAAGAATGTGTCCAATCCCTTGGTGAATCTGGCTAAACTCTCAGCTTCCGCCACATCAGGTGATGATGAGTCCCACACCCTTGAATGGGGGAGAAAAGAATTTCCTGGTGTTAGTTTTAAACTTGCTACCTACTCAGTTTCACAAGGTGACCCTTCGTTCCTGTCTGGTGGGAGACGGTCAATAATAAATCCCTAGTGACTTTCTCTTGTCATTTAGTATTTTAGAAACCCTTCTCATGTCCTCCCTCAGGTGTCTCTTTCTAAACTGAACAGGTTGGGCCTCAGCAGTCTCTCTCATATAGAAGCCCCTTCATGAATAGAACAGTCTCACTCAGCAAGTAGGACCATACCCAGCAACCTGCTACAATTTTGTTAAAATACACTTTAAATCTAAGGGAGAGGGCCAAGAGAGTGCTTGTCTCCTCTGTCCTGCCACCTCACTACAGCCTTATCTAGGAGACTCCAGGAACATCTTCCTATGGCCCTTTCCCTCCCTCCCGCCAGGACTCAGCTTGCTGGGGCATCTCCTGCTGTTCCCTTGTCCAGGCCCAGATTCACTCTGCTGCCTGATGCCGTCATTAACAATGAGCTGAAATCTTCCCCCATCCTTCAACTGCTTGTTCCATTGCACAGCACAAGCCTAGCCTGGCCCTTTCCCTATCACCCCTGAAGCCTCCTAACCTCACTACACTTCAGATCAGCAAGGCTGCTGCTGTAGATCCCCTCCCACCATGACAACACCCACACCACAATCCCACCCCAGTCTGACCACCCCATTCCCCTCCCTGGCTTCTACTTCCCAGTACAGCACCCTAGTGCTCTGCAGGCCCCAAACCTCTTCTCCCCTCTCTGTGACTCCATGTTCTCCCATCCCCAGGACCATACAAACACAACACCTGTTGAATGAGGAGATGAATGCATTTCAGGCCACCCCGGCTTCAGGGGGAGGAGGGTGACAAAAGCCAGCAGAAACTGCCCCACATCAACAGCAAAGGTCATGCCTGTGGGTTCTCTGGTGCCTGGTGAGAGCCGTACTCTGTGTGAAGCTCTTCCCACACACAGCACAGCAATAGGGCCTCTCTCCCGTATGCAAGCGCTGGTGATTGGTGAGAGACATGCTGTGCCTAAAGCTCTTTCCACACTGAGTACAGCCATAAGGCTTCTCGCCAGTGTGGATGCGCTGGTGCACTCGGAAATGGGATGGGTCATTGAAGCTCTTCCCGCAGTCTGCACAGCCATAGGGCTTCTCCCCCGTATGGATGCGCTGGTGGACACGGAGATGGGACAGCTGATAGAAGCTCTTCCCACAGTCAACACAGCCATGCAGCTTCTCTGCAGCGTGCTGCTGCTGGTAGACACAGAGGGGAGACTGTTTTGGGAAACCCTTCGCATCCTCCAGGCTGATGCAAGGGTGCTCCCCTGAGTGCATCTTCTGGTGTTCCCGGAGATGGGATTTGTACTGGAAGCTTTTCTCACACTCAGTGCAGTGGTACCGTTTCTCCCCAGTATGCAGGCGCAGGTGGTTCTGGAGGTTGTCTGGGCGGGCAAAGCTCTTACCACACTCCGGGCACAGGTGGGGGCGCTCCCCTGAATGCATCCGCTGGTGGATGAGAAGACCATACTTGTACCGGAAGCTCTTCCCACACTCCAGGCATAGATGAGGGCGCTCCCCAGAGTGTGTTCTCTGGTGCTCGAGGAGACGGGATTTGTAGTGGAAGCTCTTCCCGCACTGGGCACAGGGGTGGGCTGTCTCCCTCCTGTGGGTTCCCTCATGCACCCAGAGCTCCTGTTGATCCCTAAAACTCTCACCGCACTCTTTGCATATATACATTGCCTTCTTCCTGTGAGTGCCACACTCAGGGCTCCTCAATTCTTTCTGCCTGCACACAGGGCTCTTTTGGAGCTCAGCCAGTCTCTGTGCCCATTGCACAGAGAGCTGGTTCCTGGCTGGAATCAGCTCTAGGTTTGCAGGCTCTTGCTCAGGAGGCCGCTGCTCAGCTCTGGTCATTGTCCCAGCACCTGCTGGGTGGAAAAGGGAACCCAGAGATGAATTCCTGTGCCCTGGCAAAAAGGAAAGCCCTGCTGTTCCCCTGTGCTGGGACATACCACAGAGCTTGGCCAGGCCTTTGCACTTGGGTATAATGATGACATGGACTTGCTAGCCCCTGGAGAATAAGGAGTTAAAGAGAGCTGCTTGGCTGGGTTGGCCCTGCCTTGACATGCTTGCAGCCAATGCCAAGCCTTGAGAAGTGGCATAAAAAAGGGGAGTCAGCTCAGAGAAAAGACTCTCAGTGCTGACTAAGCCCTGGCTCCTGGTCAGGCAATGTGGATTCCCAGGTCAGGTTGGGTGCCTCGGTAGATTGTAGCATGGAGACTGGGGAGCTGCCCCAGTGCCTTTACAGGCACTCTGTGAGAACAAGTCCAATTCCAGATGCTCCCCATGCTGGAGGTGGAAGGGCAGGTCAGTGTACTGTGCTAATGTTCCTTTCTTCCCCAGTGACACTAGGGCCCCTGCTACATGTTACATATATTATGCAATTGACAGGTTAAATGCATAATAAATGTACCCCAGCCACATGTGCAAAGTAAGTAACACACCACACAAATGACTATCCAGCTATAAAAAGAGCCAACTAGCTATAAAAATAGTGCTTGAAAATGTATAACAACTCTCACTGGTTTCTAGCCAGCTTTAAACTGGAATGTGTAACAGGTTGCTCAGACCCAGATTCCCAGTGGTTCAGTCCTAAATCCAAGCCCCACAGAATTGGAGAGTGCTACATCACTTCCAACTCCTCAGGAGATCTGTGTGTGCTAGCACAGAACTGAATAGCTCCATGCCCTCTAGGACTGAAAGTGAGACCAGAGGCATTTGCCTCAAGGAAAAGTGAGACTCTCTGAAGATGGTGCTGAGCACTCCCCCACACACCTGACTGCCCAGTCATACTCCAGACCAAGAAGTTCTCACAAGAGGCTACTTGGGGATCATCCCCAGAGCTTGTTCTCAGGTTCTCGGTCACTGGCAGTCCTGAGAATGGCATCTGGGGACAAGTCCAAAGCAGCTTCACTGGCAAACTTCCATGTCAGAGTATAACAGCAGGTGTGACTGTGTGGGTCATGTTGAGCACAACCCTCTCTGGGACATACTCCTGCTGCTGTCATATCAGCAAGCCCTAAGGGCAGCTGGATTTAGCAAGAAAAAACAAACTAAGTCAGCCCTCATCCCTTCAGGAAACCATTTGGGAGCAGATGATTTGTAGCTTTTGAGCCAGTCCTGAACTAAGTTCTCCCATCTGGTCTGCTTCCAGATGGAACACAACAGAGCCATATATAATACAGCCCAAGATACTGATTAAACCCTGCCTTTATACCCCAATCTGCTAGAGGGGAGTTCCAGTTCCAGCTAAGCAGGAAGAACCATCAGGCAAAGACAGGACAGCCCTAGTTTCTTTATAGCCCAGTCCCTAACATGGTAGTTCTCAAATTGTTTAGACATAAGCCATCCCTTGTTAGAGTTAGGCAACCCTCAGAAACAGCTAGCTCTTAGCTTTCACTTAATTTTTTTACTACAGAAAAATAATAGAGCAATTCTTCTATTACAAAGGACACAGGAAACCACAACAGGTCAGAATGCTTTTAACATTGGGGATTCCTATTTGAAATCTCCAGGTTTCTCTCGTGAATCATGTTTGCACACTTGACAGTGCTAGAATTGTGTGACACCCTGTGGTACCCTTAAAAGAATTTTGAGGCACCACAGGGTCCTGTGGTACCCAGGCTGAGAATTAGTGCTCTAATGGCTCCCAGAGCTTCTGTCCTCCTTGTCAACTGCCCAGTGGCTATACATACCCCATGATGCCCTGGTAGGTGTCATAGAGGTATTGCCACCTTAGGATGGGGTATTAATTCTAAACTGCTGAGCAAGGATAGAAAATCCAGCTCACGGTGTCCCAGGGATATCTGACTTTTGCCTAATATTGAAACAGTGGGCTAGGATTTGGCTGTAGCACTGTATGATTTCCTTGTGGGCAAGCCCCCTCCTCCATGACAAATCCTACTGACAAGGTGACTGGGGTTCATTCTCCAGAAAGGGAAGCAATAGGAGATCTTGCTCAAGGGCTGAACCTGGAATGCCTCAAAAGTCTTAATTAGGGGGCTCTAACAGGGCTCCCTAGCCCTGTTACTAGTAAAGGAAAGACAAGTCAGAAAAAAGGGAGAAACTCCTTTAAGAGGTAGACTTGTGTGGCCCAGAGCAAGGAATCCCATGGCTGTATAAACTTTGCTCCTGAGCAGATCTAGGACCATGGAGGGGAGAGGAGCTCCCTGCCATAGGCTGAACTCTCAAGGACAGCATACTAAGTAGCACCTGCTATGTTCTGTGGTTTAGAATCTAGCAGGCAGAAAAGGAAAAGCTGCAAGGAAAGGCCCTTTCCTGCTAAGTTGTTTCCTTGGAACTGTGTTATTTGATGGTATTTAAGGGCAGGATTTAAGGCCTCCCAGCCTCCGTGTGACATGTAGAGTTGATTTTGCAGGCTCCAAGCCCCATGTGCGAGGGCAAAATGGATTTTGAGGGCTCCCAGAACTTGACTCACTAGAGAGGGAGGTAGTGCGATGTACTGAATAAGCCAAGAGGGGAGGCCATTACCAGGTAGCCAGGCCAGGTGAGTGCCAAGGCATGTGGCATGTCTCTGTTCAGCAGTGGTCTACTCCTTGAGACTAGTGGGTCAGTATGTGGGCCCCCAAACTGCCTGTGGGCTTCTTATGACTCCTGAAATGGTATGGTCAAATTGGCAAGGCCCCAGAACTACTCAAAAGCTCACAACAACCCCTAAAATTATGGGATCGGATGAACAATGTTTTAGGACTGCTTGAGGGTGTCAGTAGCCCAAGAGAATTATGGCTGATTTGTGCCTAATCAAATGCCAGGATATCAGCTGAGTTCAGTGAACACGAGAGACAAGCAGGCACCTAGGAATTTGGCAGGGCCAGCAGCTCCATAATGAGCAAGGGGAGGGAGTACTATAGGTGTCATTCTGGCAACTGAGGGTGTCCTGGCCTGCCAAATTAACAATGACTAACAACAAGGGTGTGATAGGCAAAACCAAAGGTCATGACTCACCTAGGGATGAGGTCTCAGACCATGATCTTTCTCCAGGGTCCTCATCATCACAGACCCAGAGCTCCATCTCCCCTCGCTGGATGCAACAGATCAAGTCAGGTGCAAAACCTTGATATCCTGTTTTGGAAGGACACAAATAGTGATTATGTTTGGTTACTCCCCATGCAGTGTCCAAATGGGATTTCGGGAATGCATCCAATAGACTCAAACATTTTAAGGGGGCCTTAAAGGGAAAAGGGAAGGTGGACAGTTCAGATGAAAGATGATACTACAAGACAAACCTGTATGAAATAAAGCATCAACCACTGAGATAAAGGGTATAAAACACCCATGGCGTTACTGGTGTATATAAACACAAGTAGCACTGTGCAAGGTGGGCTAGGGAACAGTGATCAGTGGTGTACTAGGAAGAAGGAAGAGAAAGGTTTCATAGGGACAGTGGACGTATTTATGGAAGGACACAACTTACCGTATAAGGATAATTATAGGTCAAAAACTGGAAATGGATTTATTCTTGATGCAGGTTTACATTGACAGCTCTTGGAAGTGAAGAGAGCCAATGAAAGATAGGGGACGATGACATTTTATACAGAAGAGAACATAATTCATATCAACAGTATAGAGAATGATGACATTAAAATAAGTGCAGGTGTAACTATATGTTGATCCATGTTAGGGTGACAATAATTTGGATGATTGGGGAGCATTGGATCTGCAGCTGAAACAAGGCTTTAACCTGTGTCTCAGCGAAAAGTTGCTGACCACAAGGCAGAATGGTGTATGAAAATAACCTTGCAAAAGCTTAGACAAGAAGTTTCTTTAACAGTGGAATAGTGTGCAGGATACATGATTCCTTGTGTAAGAAGAACAAGATGCAGCCCACCAGCTATCATCGGGAGATAAGACAGAAGCCAGACCTTGAAGAGGCTGCTGAAGTCAGCAGAAAACCAGAAAGAACCAGTGGTTGACCGAGAGTAACTGGGTTCATAGCCTTACGCATGCGCTCTTAGCAGAGAGGCATGTAAATGAAGGAAATGCATAGGCAATTCCATGTTAATGAAGCAAACAATAAACAGAGAAGGAGCTTGAGATGGGAGGAAAAATGGGTGGAACTCAAGGAGGGACATAGGTGGAGTGAATGTTAATATGTATGAACCAAAGTGTATAAAATGTGAAAAAACTATTGTTCAGGGCAGCTCCCTGGTTTGTTGCTTTTTGGCAGCTAGTCCGAAGCTGTCTCCATTCTAAATAAAGCTGTTGCGAGCAATGTGTGCGCGTTTGCTCCCTGCTTGCTCTGGCTAATGAGTAACAGGACCCATAAGCAATTGGATCCTCCGCTCCCTAGTCATTAGGCGCTGCGTGGAGTCTGGGTCTAACAATCCCAAGATCATTCTAAAAGACATACTAGCAAAAGTAAATAATCTAAAAGAATGATTACATTTTGAACACTTTCTAATAAAGCTCTTAGTTCTGCATTCACAAATTTAAAATTACATCAAACTCCTGCTATTCCTGTTACAATCAATAAGATCTTTTTGAATGTTGAACAAGAGGAAATGGTTCTATAGAATCAAACAGATATATGTATATATATATGGAAATTATATGAATAATCTTAAAACTAAAGGAAATTTAGGGTTTAAAAAACAACCAACCAAACAAAAAACCCCACTGACAGGTAGCCAGTTAAGGCAACCTACTTTATACCCAGGTTTCAAAGCAAAGGTATTTAACAGCTTCTAATGCGTTCCACTGCCTAAACAAGATTTTAGTGCAAGAGGAACACCAACTAAGTTTAGGCCCATCTTTACCATAGGAACATAAAACTAAGGGCTGGAAGGGACTTCAAAAGATCATCGAGCCTCACCTCCTCTGGGCAGGAATACTGCCGAGATCAAATGATCCCAGCAAGGTGTCTGTCCAGTCTCCTCTTGAAGACTTCCAAGGAGGTGGTGGAGACTGCACCACCTCCTTGGGAAGTCTATTTCAGATTCTGGTCACCCTTACCGTAAAGAAGTTCTTCCTTACATCCAACCTGAAACCATCTTCTAACAGTTTATAGCCATTGCTCCTTGTCCTCCCCTGGGGCACCCTAGCGAACAGTTTCTCTCACAGCTCCTGATATTCACTGGGGCTGTGCGAAACAGCAGTTCCATTTCGCCTTGAGTTTCAACGGTTCGACAGAACAGTGTTTCGACTCAAATTTCATTTTGAGTTGAAACAGAAAGGCTGTTTCGCCACTGTTTCAAGTTTCGCTGGGGATGGGGAGTCAGACCAGCTGGGCTGACTTCCCATCCCCAGCGCTAGATTGCCCAGCAGGGCTGCTCCCCCGACCCCCGCGCTTGACCGTGCTGGTGTGATGAAGCGCGGGGCACCAGGAAGCAGCCCCACTGGGCTGCCTCCCGTTCCTTGCCAGATCTTGCGCTGGGGATGGGAAGTCGAGCCAGCTGGACTGACTTCCCATCCCCAGTCTATCATCGAAACGTTTCGACTTTCAAATCATTTTGATCAGCCTCATTTTGCTTTGAGGCTATTTCAACAGCCTTTGTTTCATTCCGATTTTGCTGTTTCAACCTCGAACTTGCTCAAAACAGTGTCAGAACAAAACAGCCAGCCAAATTTCACACAGCCCTAATATTCACCCTTTACATACTTATAGACAGCCACCAAGTTCCCCCTCAGTCTTCTCTTCCCCAGACTGAACAATCCTAGATCCCCTCGTCTTTTCCCATAAGATTTGTCCTCCGGGCCCTTAATCATTCTTGTGGCCCTTCTCTGGACCCTTTCAAGATTCTCCATGTCTTTTTTGAAATGTGGCGCCCAGAACAGGACACAGTACTCCAGCTGGGGTCTTGCCAGCACTGAGAAGACATGAAGTATCACTTCCTTAGCCCTGCTCACAATGTACCAGCTAATGCATCCCAGTATGCTATTAGCTCTGTTGACTACAGCATTGCGCTGGCGGCTCATATTGATCCTGTGATCAACCACAACCCCGAGGCCCCTTTCAGCCATGTACTGGCCAGGACATTTCCTCCTAACCAATATTCATGCTGTTAGTTACTTCTCCCCAGATGAAGCACTCTGCATTCATCCTTACTGAGCTGCATCCAGTTCTGCTCTGCCCACCTTTCCAGCTTGTTCAGGTCTGCATCCTATCCCCTAGGATGTGAAAATACAAGACAAAACACAGGCCTGACCGATGACAGAGCAGTGGGGAGAAAGTAAATGTAGATGACCAGCCCAAACTTCACGGGAAGACTGCAGAAGAACCACCAGAGGAAGGGGACATTTCTGAGCTCTGGAAAGAAGAAAAAACAGAACTTTACCCAGGGAAACAAGGGCTTGGTAATTCCTCAGCATCTGCTCCTGGTAAAGCACCTTGTCTCCATCTCCTAACAGCTCCCACTCCTTGCGGGTGAAGTACAGCGCCACGTCCTCAAAGGCCTCTCGAAGCTGCAGTCACAGGCATTGCACGCTCAGCCACTTCTGCTCCAGCCTCATCCAGCCCCCCTATAGTTTTGAGCCTTCCACTGCACTACAGACTTGCAAGCCTGATTACACCAGGTAGGGATGTGAAGCTGTCCCTGCCCCAGTTAACGGAGACACTGCAGCAAAGCATGTTACAGGCCTGAGACAGGGGTGTACCAGGCATCTGGGAGGTTGGCGTGGCTACCTCCTCTGCTGGCAAAGGCTGTGTGTACAATAGGGGGTACTTCCATCCTCAGTGCACCAGAACGGGCTCTATAGTGAAGGCAGCCTCCACGTTGCATTGGAAGCTGCATGCTTGGCAGTGACTCGCATACCTGGGAACGGTGACCCCAGCTATTTCAGTCAGACACCACCCGAAGGGCTGTCTCTTTGCTTCCTTCACGTCTCTGACAGGGGAGCTCCACAGGGCCTGGAATCCAGGGGGATTTCCTGCCCCTGCGACAGACTGAGGCCCTACCTGAGCGGAGACGGCTGCAGCCATCCCGGCTGTGACCTGCAGAGGACGGGAACTGAAGGGCAGGGGCAGGAGCGGAGCAGCAGGGCAGAGGGACGCGCCGGGCTGGTGCCGCCGGGGCTCGGGGCGGAGTCGGCCTGGAAAGAGGAGAAAGGGGCGAGTGCATCGCTGCAGCAACCTGCCCGTGACGTCACGGCGTGACATCGCCAGCGGGAGGGATCCCCGCGCACCGGTCTCACCTGCAGCGCGGAGCGGGATCCCGGCGGCCCGGCCCGGGCCCAGCACGTGCGGCCGCGCACCTTTCGCAGCCTCCCGCAAGCCCCGCCCACCGCTGGTGACTGCGCCCGGGTCGATCCGGGGAATCCGCCGTCCTGACGTCGCCGCGCTGCAAAAACCGCCGCCGCTCGATCGGGGACCCTTTAACCCGTTCGTGCCCGGGCCGGGCGGGCAGGGCTGCGCTGCGCTGTCCTGTCATCAGCGCCGATGCCGCGAGCCCCAGCTCCCCACAGCTTGTGCGGGATCGACATACACACGCGTGCACAGACGCGCCCACGGGCACGCGCAGGCTCCCTCCGCCCGGGCGGGGCTGCGCGGGGCTGAGGGAGGGAGCCTTTCCCTTCCCCCCTGGGGTCCGCCCAGTCGGTGACAGTACAAACCGCCCCAGCTCTGCCCACCCCTTCCATGGGCGGAGGGATCGAGTGCCCAGAGCAGGGCTGCGCAGCCCAACCCCCAGGGCGGGGTGGGCAACTGCCACCACTGCCCCCTGGGAGGAGCCATTGCGGGGGGCGGGCAGTCCCACCCGAGAGGAGCCAGTCTTGGGTATTTCTGCTCCCTGCTGGAAGGACGTTACCCCCCGCCCCACCGCCACATGGTCCCTCCCGGGGGTGCTTCCCTCCTCAGGCCAGTGCCAGCCCTGGCGGACGAGGGGTGGGGGGACGTGGCTCCGCAGGCACCTTGCTGGGGCCCGACCTGGAGCCTGAGAAACCCACGTCCCTCCCTCCCACGAGGCCCCTGCCCTACTAGGGCACAGGGCCCGACACTGCGGCTCTTCACAGCCAGGCAGGGCCAGGATCAGGCCTTTCCCTGCTGGGCAGCCCGCCGGCTTCCTGCTGCCCGCCCCGCCGCTGCGCAGGGCTCCACTCCTCCCCGCGGGTCGGAGGCATTTACCGGAGAGGCGAAGGCTGAGGGATACTTGGGCTCCGGAGGAGCATCTCTGAGCCAAGGGCAGAGGGGACCTGGCTCCCCCGCTCGTTCCAGGCTGAGGGGAGCCGGTCCCTTAAGGCCTAGGGAGGGCCCTGCCTGACAGCCTGGCAGCGGCCCCCTCCAGCCAGGACTCGTGGACAACCCGTATCTGTCCTGCCTACTTCTTCCCCAGCCTGGGGAATATATCTGCCCTGCCCACAGCCACACACAGGCATATTTGCATCCATGTGCACACATACAGGCATGCACACCTCTGCACTTACATGTGTGCACACATGCACAGGAACATGCAAACTTGCCAACCTAAACACATGAGCACACACACGTCTGAATATCTGCATGAAGAAACACAACCACGCACACACATGCAAACACATGCATGCTTATGTGCACAGACGCATATGTATACAGACCCATGTACACACATACAGACATGCACACACACTGTTACACATGTGTGACAGGCTGGCTGGCAGTGACTTAGCCCAGGGGTTTTGAAAGGGCAAAAGATGATTGGAGGACTTGGGATTCCCTTTCCTCACCAATCAGGCCCCAGAGACTCACCCTCTGTGTCCCCTGATTGGCTCCTTGGGTAACCTGGAGGGGGATAAAAGGGGCAGCGCAGCTGACTCAGAAAAGAGACCAGCGAGGAACCACAAGGAAAGAGTTTCAAGGAGCTGGCAAGAGCTAAACCAGCGGGGCAGGAGCAGTTGCCCCAGAAGTCCCTGAAGGAGTGGAATCTGCAGGCAGCACTGGGGGGTCATCAGCAGCACAGCATGTGGCTGGCAGGAGAGGCTCCCCGCTGGGCTCCAGGATCCCCCACGGGGGGCTGTGGCCAGCAGGAGAGGCTCCCCAGCTCCAGCAAGATCTGAGCAGTGACCTGAGAGGTTCCCAGCTCTGCTTCCAGCTCCTCCAGTCAGAGGTCAGGCAGCTCAACGTGAGGCCGGGGCTCCAGGAAGGTCAAGACCCCTAGCAGCTTGTAGCAGTACCAGAACTGGTGGCTGTGTGGCAGAGTTTTTGCTTACAATGTGGGGGAGACCTGAGTTTAAGTTCCAGCTTTGGTGACTTGTGGTGAGTGAGCTAACAAGGAGAAATTCCTCTTGCAGTGGAAAGGGGCCGGTGTGTTTTCCCCCTTTCTCCCCCTCCAGGTACCTAGGCCCTATATTTCTTGTCACTTGACATTTTGCATTTTGTGCCTTTTGTATTTCCAGTAATACCAACCAGTATTGTTTGTTCTGCTGTTTGTGTTTTACATTTTGGTTAACCCTGTCTTTTGTCAACTGGATGAATATGTCTATGATTGTAAGTGTCTAACCTCTGTTGAATCCTGCCCCTTCAGGGCACTGTAGTGTCCCCTATACCCCGCCCTGGTTTATACTGGTTATGTTCCCAGTATTGTTTCCTCATTAAAATGTATATGGTTAAGTCCCCATTGGTGGTCTGGCTCTGCTCTATAGGGGGAGGAGAGTCCCTACACCTCCCACAGCGCTTGTGCACCTGCTTTGATCCCTGCAACTGGAGAGGGGGTACCTCTTGGAGTACCACCCGGGTTACATTTTGGGGGCTCATCCAGGATTCCCGCATAGCGGGTGCTAGAATATTATTCAAGCACTGTGTACCCCTGTAGAGAGCGAGAGAGCCACCAGGAGGCATGTCAAATGCCGACCAGTCTGCCGTACCCTCCGGGAGTGATGGAATGGTGCAGGGGGGAGCGGGGCAACCTGCTGGAACTGAAACTACCCCAGAATGGGTGAGAGTTTTCCAGCAGATTCTGCGGGAGGTGACCCGTTTCTCCAGTGACCAGGTAACCTATAAGAGACTCCAGAGTTTCTCGGGAACCCTTCCAGTCCCTGCAGGGGAGGAAGGATTCAATTCTTGGCTCTCCCATATTCAAGAGACTTTACTGACTTGGCAAATAGCTGATGGGGATAAGTGACGCTGTCTGGTGGAGGTCCTGAGGGAGCCTGCCTTTGGGGTTGTGAGGACTGCCAAACTCCGGAACTGTGCTATCACCACCCAGCAATGCGTGCAGGTCCTTCAGGATGCTTTTGGCCGACCCACAGGAAGTGGGGGTGCGTACTACGAACTGCTGGGAACTTTCCAGCGCAAGGGCGAGACTCTTTCAGCGTATGTCCTGCGCTTAGAGCGGTGTTACAACGCCTGGTGACCCAGGGAGCGCTTAGTGTCACCAACACCGATCAGATACGGCTCCGGCAAATTCATATTGGGGCACGGTATAGCTCGGATTTACTCCATAGCCTCAACTTAGCGGGGAGCAGGAGCAGCCCATCTGACTTCTGTCACCTCCTCCGAGAGATTCATGAAGGGGAAGAGATATCCAGACTCAGAGAGACTATGTGGGTCCCAGAGGATGTTTCCCCCTGGAGAGAACCCATGGGTCAGGTGCTAATGGTGGCTCCCCATGAGGACACTTTGTTGGGAGTGGAGGAGGAGCCTGTGGCTCCAGCACTAGCAGCTGCTGTGGCCAGACCCCTCCCCAGGGGTCAGCCCTTGCCCCATCCTTGTGCCTCAGGCGGACCTTGGCCCCATACCTGCTCTAGGGCCCCAGCGTTCTGCTATAGATGTGAGGAGCCAGGGCACATGGCTCGGGAGTGCACCCAGCCTGAGAACCCTGGTTTGGTATTTTAAAGGTTAAAAGGGCGGTGGGCAACGGGAAACGGGGAAGGGGCAGAGCAATGGAGTCGGCTCCGTTCCAGACCCAGACAGATTCCCATACATTACCCTCAGTAAATTCACTGCCAAAGGGGCTAGTCGGACCCCGTGCGGAGGTCCCTGTGACTGAATGGTTGCCCATGCTGGGTCATTCTAAACAGCGGGTGCTAGGTTACCATCCTATTTGAATCCTATGAGGAACATCTGAGACACTTGCCTTTGCTTCCCCTTACGGGGCTGGGACTTTGTGGCTTAAGCTAGGAACAGTATCCTTATGGGGGTTATGTAAACGTGAGGCTAAAATCCCCTGCTGAAATAGCTGGGGTGGAAGAAGAAGTGTCAACCATCGCTCTAGTATGCCCTGATCCGGGGTGGATGAAAGGGGCCACTCTCGTTGTGGGGACCAACTCCAGCCTTTTCCAGGTTCTTGCTCGCTACTGTAAACGACAAGCTGGCCCAGGTTACCAACAACGGTTAACGATGCATGCCTTGTGCTCAGAGGCATATGACCAATGGGAGCATAGAGAGAGGTGGGGTCACCCTGAGGTTGTGGGGACCCTGTACTTCTCTGGAGCAAAGCCCCAGCGAGTCCCTGCACCGGGCCAATGGGCTTTGCCTACTGTATGCAATTGGATTGAGAGGGATGAAAAGAATAAGCTGCTGGTGGTGGAGACCCCCACTGGGAGAGAGAAACCCGGTGCGCTGAGGGTCCCTGATGGTGTGATCGAGACAAAAGGACTCAACCAATACCTGGTTACAGTGATAGTGGTTAACCCAACCTTGAAAGATAT